TGTCTATCTATATATTGATGCCACCTGGAAAGGTAAAGAGCTCCATAGGTTAGAATAGAAACACAGCTCTTAAATAGACTACCTTCCTACCTGCGCAAGTGAGCTGATGCCACTGGAAAGGTGAAGCGTTCCATAGGCTAATCGTGCATTGTAAATAGAAGCACAGCCCTTGAATAGACTACTTTCCTACCTGTGCAGGTGAGATGATGCCACCTGGAAAGGTAAAGAATTCAATAGGCTAGGCATATGTTGCAAATAGAAAGATGGCCCTTGAACAGACTACTTTCCTACCTGCGCAGGTGAGTTGATGCCACCTGGAAAGGTAAAGAGCTCCATAGGCTAAGCATGGCTTGGAAATAGAAATGCAGCCCTTGAAAAGACTACCTTCCCACCTGTGCAGGTGAGTTGAGACCACCTGTACAGGTAAAGAATTCAATAGGCTAAGCATGGCTTGGAAATAGAAATGCAGCCCTTGAATAGACTACCTTCCTACCTGCACAAGTGTCTCGATGTCACCTGGAAAGGTAAAGACTCTATGCCTTGCAAATAGAAAGACAGCTCTTGACTAGACTAATTTCCTACCTGCTCAGGTGATGTGATGCCACCTGGGAAGATAAAGAGCTGCTATGATGGCTCCCACTCATCTACTCATCCACTTACCAGGCAGCGATGGGTCTCAAAAGCCCAGCATGATGGGTGCGTGAGTCCCCCACTCCTGTCTGTGCACCTGGGAGCCTCCTCCAACAACAACGACGCTCCTTCCAGGTAGGTCAGCCAAGCCTGGCTTGCTCCTGCCTTTCGCCAACTTGTTGGGGCAGTTTGCCCGCTTGCGATACGGGATTGGCAACCTCAGATATGGAAACGGGCCTGACGAAACCCTGATAGGAAAGCTCTCCCAATGGATAACCGAGAGCTCCACCCGTGCATGGAAATGCACCTTCGCTCTATGCGCACCTATTCAACCCTTTCCCAATAGGAGCAGCACATTTGCATACATGACTTTGGCATGAACCGGCAAAGTGGGATTCTTTACAAATAGGAAACTCCTTTCCTTTTCCTGTCTTCCAATTGAAATCTAATGTTTCAATCTTTGCAATAATAATGATGATGTTAGTGATGAGGAGGAGGATGATGAGGATGATGATGATGATAGTGTTTGGAATGAGCAGAGAAATAATCCCGCATTCCAATTAAAATCTAATATTTCAATCTTCATGCTAATG